TTTGGATTTCCTTTTCTTCTCTTTGTCCCCAATCATCATCTCACCATTTCCACTTCTCCTCCTCTTTCTTTATTTTCTTTCCCTGCGTTGCCTTCTGGTCTCTTGTCTTCTTTTTGGGTTTGATGTCCTTAAAACAAGCAGAGCGGACAGAATAAAACCGGAGATCACTCACAGATCAAAGGAGGTAAAGAAAGGGGTCGGACCTCCTCCTCGTCTTCTTCGTACTCCTGTTTCCTCTTCTTGGCCTTCTTGTCGTGCTCCGACTTGATTTTTTTGGGCCTGTATTCCAATCTGTAAACAAAGGCATTGACGGATGTCAGATGACACAGTCAACCACCAGATCCTTGTCTCCTGCCTTCAGGAACTTGGTGTCTCAGGCTCTGCTCTCCCCCTTCTCTCGTCCTACCTTGAAGGACGCACCTACCGGGTGCAGCTCATCCAGAATGCAGCAGCTCCACTGGTCTTTAACCTTCCTAAGTTCTCCCTCACTCCTCCACTCCTCCGCTCTCTTCACTGGTACCGGTGGCTCATCCAGTTCTAAACATGGTGCTCAGGTACCGTGCTGTGAATGGATGGGGTCCAGCTCACATCCAGGACCTGGTCCAACCCGACATCCCGACCCGCACTCTCCGCTCTGCATGTGATAAACTGCTTGTTCCTCCTCACTGAGAGCAAAACACTCGACTAGATCTCCACTCTTTGCTGTCCTGCTCCTAAATGGTGGAAGGAGGTCTCTGAAGACATCAGGACCACAGAGAGCCTTCACATCTTCAGACTAAAGACACACCTCTTCAGACTCTACCTCCACTAACACACTAACTAACTGTACCACTTACATTGGACTTATAATGGTTCTTATCTACAGCAGGTAGTAGATCGGCTTATTTGATGAAATTGCACTTCCTTGTCTCTTGTTCTTCTGAGTTTGTGTCCTTACGGTTGAATAACTTATTGTAAGTCGCTTTGGATAAAAGCGTCAGATAAATGACATGTGATGTAATAATGACAGAAGCGCAACGATCCGGTTTAAATATGGCGGGCGGACCCACCCTCCGTCCTTGAGGTGTTGGGGAGACGGGTAAAAGCCGTTGTCTTCTTCGGGTTCGCTCTTCAGGGCAGAGGGGCTTCTCTCTCTACGGCAAACAGTGAAGACATCCGACGGAACATCAACAGGTCTTCTATCCAAAGAAGCTCTAATGTGACATCTGTCACTTTCACATCTGACACAACGCACTTTACCTCACAAATCCGTTTTCTTTCTCCTTTTTGGGCTTTTCTACGTGGGACGGTTGGATCTGTGGGGAAACGGTGTAATGTGTCTTTAGAGAAGTAAAACGTACTTAACTTGAGCCGGAGGACCTTTTGAGTTGATGTTACCTTCTCCTCCCTCCTCTTCTCCCGGGGCTTCTCCGAGCTGCCGTTGCTGTGCTTCAGCTTCTGTTTGTCCCGGAGCTTCTTCTCCGCCGGGTCCTTGTGTTCGCTGAGGGGTCGGAGGTCGAGTGAAGGTCGCACAGCACACGTGACAAAGCAAAATGAAAACATTTAACAAGCTGGGGAACAAAGAGGGAGCAGGACAAAGAGGAGGAATCCCACAAAACATGGCCGGGTTCTTTCACTGTCGATTCAACCAGAGGCACACTCTCAGAATGGAGGGTTCTTCCTGAAGGAAGGAGGTTCCACGGAGAACCGCCTGCTATACTGAAGAGAAGGGTTCTTTGTTAGACTAAGGGTTCCAACCCTAACCTTAACCCTCACCAATGGGGGGGGATTCTGAATGAAGCCCTTGGACTATGGAATAATTCATTGTATTCCTTAAAACTGAAAGGGGTTCTTGGTAGAACCTCATAGAGGTGGAGAACCTTTCAGGCAACAGCTGATCACAATCAAACGTGAGCTGAATGTGCACCAGAGAGAAAAACCCTACGCGGCTCAAGTTAGCGCCTTCATTTCCCAGAGTGCACCCTGGGAGACTGGTCAGTTGAGGACGCGGTTGAGTCGTACCTGTTGCTGTGCTTCAGCTTCTCTCGCTCCTTCTCCTTCCTGTGTTCTTTGTGTCGGTGTTCTTTGTGCTTCTCTTTGTGTTTGTGGGTTTCTGCGTTACAAACCAGAGGAAAACTCTTCAGCGGCTTTGTTTGTTTGTGTGTATCTGAGAATCAATTAGTTTTGGTCCCTTTGTGTTTATTTGAGCTGTGACAATTATGCTTTTATAGTTGTAGGTTTCAACATGCAAAGGAGGTGAGCTTTGATCAAGTCAGGTTGATGTTAACATATTAATGTCAAAAGCTTTAACAGAGGGAGGTATCGTTATAATAATAAGGGGGGGTCAAAGAATTGAAGATATATCGATATCAAACTTCCCCAGTCCAAGTTGTCAATACACTAAATTGCGTATTATGGGGCTTGGACTTTTCTGAAAGAGGACGTGTTGGAGAAAGAAAAGACCAAAATCTCTACAAGTGAACCAGTGCGGCCTCCTCCATATTTATGCCATGTTCCACTCGGGCCCCACACGCGTGTGCAGTGAGGATGACGTAACATATCAAAAATCAGGAACTTCCTGTCTCAAAGTGATGCAGAAAAATTAGTTCATGCGTTTGTTACTTCCAGACTGGACTACTGTAATTCTTTGTTATCAGGCTGCTCTTGTAAATCTCTTAAGCCTCTCCAGTTGCTTCAGAATGCTGCAGCACGTGTATTAACAAGAACTAAGAAAAGGGATCATATCACTCCTGTATTAACTTCTCTGCACTGGCTCCCTGTTAAATCAAGAATAGATTTTAAGGTACTTCTCCTCACCTACAAGGCACTTGCTGGTGAGGCACCGTTGTATCTTCAAGAGCTTGTAACACCTTATTGCCCTACAAGGCAGCTGCGCTCCATAGATGCTGGGTTACTTGTTGTTCCTAGGGTTTTAAAAAGTAGGCTGGGGGCCAGAGCCTTCAGTCATCAAGCTCCTCTTTTGTGGAACCAGGTTCCACTTTCAGTCCGGGGGGCAGATTCGGTCAGCTCTTTTAAAGTAAAACTTAAAACGTTCCTCTTTGATTGTGCCTATAGTTAGGGCTGGCTCAGGTTAGTCCAGACCAGCCCTTAGTTAAGCTGCTATAGGCTTAGAATGCCGGGGGAATTCTTAGGACACACCAAGCTCCTCTCTCACGCTCTCTTTCTACCATAATTCACATTTTATTAATGCACATGACTAATTCAGCTTCTTTCCGGGAGTTTTTTTTGTGCTTTCTTCCCTATCAGGTCTCCGTAGATCGTGGTTCCTTGGGGACCCTGGTCCTGACACCTACCGTGGCCATGCTGACGCCTGCTGCTGCCATCATCATCATCATCATCATCATTATTTTAGATATTAATCATATTACTTTACTCATAAACCGACATTACCCTCTCCTAAAATCTCTGTGCTCTCCCTCCCCACAGGCTTCTGTGGATGGTGGTTCTATGTGATGGTGGTTCTATGTGATGGTGGTTCTATCTGATGGTGGTTGCCTCTGCAGTGGTCCTGCTGTGCGCCTGGCTTACTACTTACAACTACTTCATTACTATCATTTCTGTCATAGGAATTGCATGTATTATACATTGTTCATTCTGTACACATGGCATCCATTGTAGTCTGTCCATCCCGGGAGTGGGATCCCTCCTCTGACGTTCTCCCTGAGGTTTCTTCCCTTTTTTCCCTCTTGTAAGGGTTTTTTCATTTGTTGGGGAGTGTTTCCTGTGCCGATGGTGGGTTTCGGGACAGAGGATGTTGTATGTGTACAGACTGTAAAGCCCTCTGAGGATAATTTGTAATTTGCGATAATGGGCTATACAAAATAAAATGACTTGACTTGACCTACAACCATCCTGCCCGGCCACACCTGTACGGAGAGGACGCCGTTGTGCACGTGTCCTACATGCTGCCCGCTGGGTGACGGACCTCTTCTGGCTCCATCATCGCCTCGTGGCGCCTCGTGGCGCCCCGGGTCTCACGGCACTTTGATGAACGGGGTAATCATCGGATCTCAGGTGACTATAAATCAATTCCCCCACAATGCTTTGCTTCACGTCAGGCACAAATTTAAATAACAGCGGATTAAACGTGTGTTTGGGGCATCAGTGCTGCATGCTTATATGCTCTTAATAACGGGCTGCAACTTCCTCCTCTGTGACTTCAGGTGTGAGCCTGCAGCTCAGAGATGGAGGCTGGGTGTCTGGCTGCTGGTGCTGATGGAGGTGATGGTGATGGAGGTGGTGAGACAGGGCCCGGGGAGAGGAGATCAACGCCCAGCTCTCGGCTCCATATCACGGCGCACAGTCGGCTGTGTGATCGGTGCCCCCCCCCCCCCCCCCGGCCGCTGCACGCAGAAAAATAAAATGGCGCAGAGACGAAGTCCTCAGCCCCAATTTCGGCTCCAAAATCCGCCGCGTTTGCACGCGCGCATCGCGGAATTAGCGCGTGCACATCAGGGAGGACGCCGAGCAGGTCCGGGAGCGCGCGTTTCAGACCGCGTTTTGGAACAATAGCCGTTAGAGAGCGCAGGAGAAGGGACTTAGTCTCTGGGACGCCATTTCTGTCCTTTTAAAAACACCACAGACATCGCGGAGACACAGTAAATAAAGAAACCCCGTCAGAGGACCTACCGCTTCCTTTAGATCCAGAATTCACCTGGAAATTATGAAGAAATATCATTTCAATATCGCAATTTTGAAAATGCCGGTAAGCTCGGTTATTCAAGTTTCAGTCGTCACACACAATGAACCCTTGAATACATTTGGACAAAATGTGTTATATTATTATTATTATTATAAAGCAAAATACGCCAAACGGCACATTATTGTAAAGTTTTCACTAACAACTTATTGCACTAGCTCGAGCGACGTTGTTCACAATGACATTTGTCGTCGGGTGTCACAAAGGCGCGCGCGCGCGCGCACGGCTCGTTCCGGGTGAAGGTGAACGGTACCTGCGCGTGTGCGTGTGCGTGCCCCCCGCTCATGGTCGGCCGCTCGGTGTTGGTGAAGCAGGTGAAGTTGTCGCAGCAGCTGTTGGGGATGGAGGCTCGGGGAAACCTCTGCCCACGGACTGGAATGGAGTCCCAGCGGCTCCCGACTGCGCATGCGCACGCGGCCGGAGGAAACACCGCGCGCAGCCTTTTTTCCCCCCCCAACCAAAGGTGCACAAGCGGACCAGGGAGCGTCGTGCTCGTCAAAAATACTTTAATTCAGACTCATTTTCAACACAGCGTCACGGGACAAAAAGCAGTAAAAAATTTAATTCAGTTTTACAACATAATTATACAATCATGACAAGCTCCACCGTCAGTCTTCACGTGATTAATCCAGCATCTAATATCAAAAGAAACACGAAAGGAAACATCACATACTGTATGCACACACACTACTACAATCGCACATGACAGCGTGAATCATGACTATTTTAAAAACACAATCTGTACATTGGTTCTCTCCTCGCCTGAAAAGTTTTATATCTAAAGGGGGGGGGGGGGGGGGTCACAGCGGGGAGACAAGAAAACAACACATTTACAGTACGGTTCCACAGGGTCCATCACGACTGCAGCGGCTTCTATTTGGACTTCCTTCGTTTGGCCTGCGTGGGGCTCGCTCCGGCTTCTGCTGCTGAGGAGGAGACACAGGTGTTAGGAGGACCGGTAGCGATGCCCCCGAGCAGGACTGGGCCATTAAATATCAACGTGTGCTTCCTCAGCGCGCCGGGACACCACTCGCTGGTTTGTGGGCTGATGTTTGGAGGCCTTGAATTTGGCGATTTTGCCGTTGCCATCTTGGATTACGAACGTCACGTCAGTGTTCTGTGCACTTGATGAACGGAAGTGACCATGTTTGCATTGAGGAGGACGTAGAGTCGCCGTACACGTCGCTGATGGAGACCTGTCAATCAGCACGTAGCCCCGCGCTAAAGCGTCCCCTGCTTTATGGTCTGTTTGACTCCACATGGACCACATTTTACTAAATGAACATCATGCTGACCATAAACTCATGTTTACAATGTTTCCTGAGGTAATAAATCCAGAGAGAAGTAGAGTCATTTCTCATAGACGTCTA